TGCCAGGCAACAAACGAGATGACATGGCCTTTCACTTGTGACCCATCTCGAAAGGTTTAATCCGCGTCAGAATTTCAAGATGAAGCACCACAATGGAGACAACAGTCAAGCTGCTGATAATACAGATTTTATTTCATAACTTCTGTAATACTAATATAGTGTTGTAAAGAAAATTCGTTTTTTAGGTATTGAGATACCTTTCACTGTCAGTTCAACATAATACAACTACTTTTAGGCTGGGATGCAAATTGCACTCAAAGTGGCATAACTAAGATGGATGGCACACGTACAGTTAAATAAGCTTCAGTTGCATTTGAAGACTGATAAGGGAGAATAATATTTGGTCCTGCAACTCAAATGTTATGCACACACAGAAGAAATACACGTATGGATCAACTGTTTTCTTGCACAGCATATGCTTTCTTGTTATGGTATAGCATTCATATTTCACACTTAAAATTGCAATGAATATCACCAAAACAATGAAATTTAAACATGCAATTGCAATACAACTGTACAAAAAATGACACTGAAATATTCACAAAGAGAGTTTCTGAATTCCCTCAACTTAAGTGATTTTGAAAAACTTACACAAGGAATTAATGTGACCAGAAACAGTAGAACTAGAAGTAGATTGTTTTCTTCTCAGCTGTTCTTTGTGACACTGTGAACACAGACCATCAGAGGAAGGACTGCCATAGAAACCACAGCCAGATCCACAAAAAACATTTTGTGATACTTGATCTGAATCCCTTTCCATTTATCTTGTAAGCCTGGAAAAATGGCTGTCCACAGAAGAAATGACCTTAAGATAAAAATAAAATTTCAATAAACTTTCATACATTTGTAAGGTAAAGTAGACTGTGATAACAAATATACAACACCAAATTCTCAACTGAACTAAGCTGCAATAATGTCTGTTCAGTTGAAGTTACCAACAGGCCAGTTCTAATTCAGATTAGAGTTAAAATTTCAATGTCCTTGCTGCAACAATAACGAAACGTTATTAAAAAGTTCTTTTACACAATTATCTTATTTCATTTTGATAAAATGTAAGGATTACGTTATGGGAGACTAACTGGTTATGTCAATGAGTCAAATGGCTTTCTTTTTTCACATGATTATACTAAAACAAAAAAGTGTGTGTATCCCAAACAATTCTCATATGCATGAAAGAAAAACAAGGTAAAAAAAAATGTACAAAAGGAAGAAATTTTAAAGATATGCCTGTTTCACTTACTCCAATGCAGCCAAAATCAAAAATGAATATGAAATTTACAAAACCAGAAGAAACTGGAGATTATAAAATATCACGAGAATGTAGCACTCAACCGTCTTTACTTATATAATTTGGGGGTTTGGTGGAGGTCCAATAAAATAGGATTTCACAGAACTTTGATGTTGGCTTGTCTAACATAATTGAAATGATTTAAAATGATAGCAAACAAAAATGAAAAGTTGGCCATATAACAAAAATTTTAATTAATGTAAAAGTTTAATTTCTTCATATTAGTTACATTGCAAAAGCAAACAAGAGCAAATCCTCAATAGCCATGGCTGTAATTTGACCTGACATCGGTCAAGAGATAGAGCCATGAGCTAAAAGTTTATACTTGAAAAAAAAATCAGAGCCATGGCTGTAATTAGAACTCAAATCGGTCAATAGATGGAGCCATCAGTTAAAAGTTTGTACTTGAAAAAAAATCAGAGCCATTCTGTGAATGGTGGCAAAAATCATTCATATTGCAAGCAAATGTCTTGTGATACTATTTCAAAACTTTTAATACTGATCCAGCACTTGCTTTAAAATGAAATATAATACTGAACTGTCTTGCCAATTGTTGTTTCACCCTTTTCTATTTTTCCATGTTAATATTACACTTGAAAAGCATATTATTTAAATGCACATATGAAAAAACAAAACAAATTCTACACTAATAATCATTATTCTTATGAATGTAAAGATAAAAATTGTATCAGTCCCAACAGAATTTTAAAATTAAGTTAAATTTACAAGACTTGCAGAAATCACTATTTTCTCTCAGTAAATGGTTAAAAGTCTAATTATTTTTGACAGAAACCTAACTTACAGTTCTCATAGAAAGTAAATTCCTATTATTTGCTGTTTTGTTTTTTTGAGAAAAAACACATTAAAAATTAATAATGCACATAAACATATGGGTACATGTTGATGTACATTGAGAATGAACAGTACAGAACATGTTTGCATATAATATACAAGTGATCTCATCTGTAAGTCCTAGGCATTTATAAATCATGTTCAAGAAAAAAAAATGCATATACACATATTTGTGAAACTAATGATTTCAATAAGCCTCGGGCAGTTAGAAACAAATTTTGGGCGTGAATATATTTTTCTTTTTATTAGATGATATACAAATATTTAATAAGTAGTAAAATACTTTTTAAATTCTGATTAGTAAATCACCAATTTGTTATATTCCATATTTAATGTTTAACGTCAAACCACAAAAACGTATTTGCAATTTTTGTAATTGTTCAGATTCCAAGAAGCTCTGTAAAAATAATATTTAAGAATATATTTTGTTGTGTTTCCATTGCAACTGAAATTATTGCGCATAGTAGAAGAAATTAAAGCTGGATTGGTACTTACAAAAGCATTTGTTCACACTATTATTGTACAAACTTTTATAATGAACAAGAATTAACAGTGTCTAATTGCACCCATAGTATGAAATCTAACATACACACTGTACTGTTATATACATTTTCACAAGTTTACTTTATTATTAGTTACATATCACAGGAATCTGAACATTTTTAAACATGTGGTAGTTAAATTACAGTAAAGACACTGAAATTAATAACTTAAATATATCTGTATTAATTGTACCTTTAATATATTTTACACAGTCAAGCCAAAGTAATTCTCAGCTTATTACAGGTATTAGACACAATTTGTAACTCACATTGTACTCTTTCTATAAATTACTTTTTGCACAAACACATGCAATATCTTCCGAGCCATTTTTATTTCAAAACTACTCTTTCTCTTTGTTTTCTATCACTATACACATCACACACACAATGCTTTTTCACGTTTTAGGTTATACTATTAGAAACGTGAAGCTTCACTTCCAATATAATGAACACACATTGATCAGCGTGCTTACATTAAATGATCATTTGTCATTTAATCAAAGAAGGAAAATCTATTTTTCAAAAAAGGCTCGATTTGGAGAGCTTCTTTTCTGATACTGAAAGATGGTAACAACAGTAAAACAGGAAAGGCGTGTAATATACCACCATGATGTTAATTTTAATTAAATGTTCATTGAAAAATAAACATCCTTAGCAAATGCACGTGAAGTTCAGTACAAATTTTAAACAAGAAACAAGTATAACTTTTGAAGCAGCACAACTGCAAATAATAGCTGGTTTACAAAATAGGTTGCTGAATTTGCAAGTACTGCAGGGGCTGGCCTATCCTGATCTTGTACACAAATGACTAGATTGGTTATCCAATATCTTCAAGGTTCTCCAGAAAGTTTCACTCGATTAATGTTTGGTAAATATCTACATGCATCCAACAGATCACATTAGAAGAGACTGAATTGTCTAACATATTACATCTCATCATATGGTTATCAAATCAAACAGCACAGCTAATGACAGTAACAAAATTTTCTCAAATGCTATTTTTACTAAATAAATGTAGATTTTAAACAATGATGTACCTCTAGGTAGCTGTTTACTAAAATCCTCACAAGAAAGAGGTCAGAAAAATGAAGAGTACAGGGTGTCACAAAAATTGACTGCTGTTGCAACTTTGAGGAAATTAACACTGCTTTTCTTACTTCTTTGTAAATGTTATTAGATCTTGGCATTAAGCATTAACGATTGTGTGGAAACGATTTGGACTGAATGTCTTCAGTACATATTAAACATATGCTGTAAACAAGTATAGACATTCAGCTTATGGCAACTGACTTTTGAGACACCTTGTAGGAAGCCTTTGCTATAAAGACTTAAAACTATTCTGTTACAGCATGTGAATGGAGAAGAGTCCAATACAACATTTCTTGTTGCCATATGCACAATTTATACTCCATCAACTAATTTATTTCTAATGTAAATTTCTTATAACTGGACTATCAACCTGCTGAACCTATGTACTTGTCATCAGTATCAATTAAATCAGTAGTGCAAGAAAGCTAGGGCTGGCCTTGTTACGACCCAGGTACTCCCTCTACCCTTCGAAGTGTGTGGATGCAAATTGGTACTTATTATTATTATTGTTTCTAATTATGAATTATTGATTAGATAAAATTTTAATAGTTTAATTTTACACAAGTGAAATACAAAGAGAGAACACTAAACAGACAAATGATCCTTTATACATTTCACCTGTCTACTTGAAATTTTACTTGATATACCATTCCAGATCTAATAATATTATACTCTAGGGTTAAATGACTAAGTTGTATGCATGCCATTTCAGTTATATAAAGAATTTTTAGTTTTACTCCAAAAATAGCTACAGAGGAATCTGAAAAAGAAATTGTTGAAAATAATTATAAGGAAGTACATGTTAGACATTCAATAAATTTAAAATAAGAACTGACGTTTTGTTTTAAGATAAGCATTCAAAGTGAATTCCACTTGCATGATTTAAATTAACAGTATCAAAACACTCATTCTATTTGAGTGTGTTTTTTCTAAAATCAAGGTCTGTAAACCACTTGAGTAAGAAAAATTTAAGACTTCTCATGTCAAAAGAGCATTGGTGATATGAACAAAAATTATCTAAGTGTAATTAATGATAAAAAAATGCCCTAACTGTGGTGAAAGCAGCAACTGAAGTTCTGGAATACTGGGAGAATTTTGGTTTCCCTAACTGCCATGGCAGCTGGTGATTTTTTTGACAGAGAGGTACAAGCTATAAATGGCTACATTTTTCAACTGATCAATGTATGTCACAGCCCCCAAATTTTCAACCTGTTTCACACTTCCTTAAACGATCTATAGCTCGCCTTGTCTAGCTCTCCTGTTGCCAGAGAAATGGGCCATTCTGGTGTGCTCGGCATTTAATTGAACACACCATTTCTTATACAGAAATATCAAATCATTACTGAAGCTTTATTAGCATTATATGTTTTATTACAACTAAAACATTATTAATGTGAAAAACAATTAGTTTGAGTGTTTCTACTAGAGGACATGGAAGTTTTCTGTGAAGTAGTGCCTTATCTAAAATCACCATCTAAGAATATTACTACAATGTAAAAAATATAGAAAATATATACTAGATTGATAGCCAATTTAAGGCATTTCAAGGTAAGGAATAGCTTCAAGCTTCCCTTCTGTATGTAATATACTTAGAAAAGATTTGGTTTTGGTGTTTAGAATTTTCAGGACTCGTACACAATTTGCTATGGGTGGTCTGCACGAGTTGTAGATTGAAAATCATCTAAACTACAAAACTGAATCATAACGGTGATGTGTTTAAGCTCTGGTAGCCCAGATGAAGTCTTGTCAGAAGCAAAATTATTTAAAGAGTTACATTACTGACAAAAACTTTGCCTTAAAATGTGCTGTGTTCTATTATTTTTGTTGGATAAGTATACTGATAAGAAAGGCTACATTCAATACGACTTTCACAATGCTTGGTTGTTTTATGATCTTGACAGACCAAATAGCTTTGTGTTGATTTGCTCTATGTCTATGATGAGGACTTTTATTTATTGCAAGATTTTGTGTAAACTACGAATACAAGTATTTGATGGGTTCCTAAAGACGTAAAAGAGATTGACTCACCTAACAAATTATAGTATTTCACAAATAAAATGGTTTTAAGATAAATATTTTCTTAAAACCAACAAATATGATTATTCTGTATGATTTACACTTGGTAATGAAAAAGATCTACTAGTACAGTCTAGATTCGAGTCTCAGTAGCTCCGTCGGTAAGAGCTTTGTGTGAACAAAGGTCTCAGGTTCAAACAGTGACACATTATACTGGTGTCCAACAAATGGTCACCCATATATACGAGGCTATTTTGTACACGGTAGATGAAAAATCAGACTACTTACGTACATGCTTGGCTCAGACGTTGGTCTGCAGCGTTAAACGTGTGTGTTTGTGTGACAGTTTCTGGCTTGGAGAAGCTGTGATGTGTGTTGATAACTTCAGATGTTAGGTTGTGTTGTATGTAAACATAAGGAAATCTTGTCTGAATGGGGAAAAGTATGTGACAGTCAGAATGAAGTCTGCTCGGGACTTGAGCCCCATTATTTAGCTGGTAGAAGCATCAGTCTCAGAACTAGTTTGGGTCAAGGTTCAAGCCACAGTTACTAATCAGAATACAACTACAACTGTCTTTGTTTATTACATCATAAAATTATTTAACTTTTGACATAACCTTTAGCATTTGTAATCCAATTAAACCTTTCAAGCAGCATAAATATTTAACTGACAAATTGAACATTTAATGAAAAAAAAACTTTGTAAAAATAGGTTTCCACAAATTAAAATAATTTCTCAGTATTTCACTTACAAGTAAGTGTTCTTTTAAATGATTATTGTTTTCAATTAGTTCTTCAGCATAATATTAATAAAATAAAAAGTAGGTAGTGGCACCAACTTCTAAAAAGCACAAGGCAGAGGTGTGAATGTCATTTCAGCCTAGAGCCTTAAGTTTCACTTCAAGTTCTAAGTAAGTTTGACTTAACATACAATATGAACTCAAAAAAGGTCTATTTTATATTTAATTATAAACTACTACGTACTTAACACAATGTGTTAGGAATAATACTTGCTATAAGCTATATGTATGTACAGGCACCTATAACAGGCCAAAGTAAAATAATATGAGGAAAAAAAAAAACAATACCAGGCCAAAGTTAAAATAATATGAGGGTAAAGAAAACTTATAGGTAGTCACATCATTTTTTTTTAAGGGGAAGCAATGCACCATTTGTAATCATAAAAAATTTACATATGCATAAGTCAATTAATTACTTACCTCTAAATAGACACGTTGTTAGTTGTTCAAACAATATAATAGATCAGGTCTTTTTCATCCTTCATTTGACATCTTTTAACACTCATTACTGAATTTTCTTATAGTTCAAGAAAGACTTCAAACACCAATCAGCAACCTTACACGGTTTTTCCTAACATTTGTTTCCTGTAGGGCTTACACTTTTCAAAGACATCCTGATGAGTGTAGAAACAAAAAGGATAAACCTATTTATAGGTAAATACTTAACTAAAATATTCTTAGTCTATAAATTTAGATTTCAAACACAGTACTGTATGCTTAAGTAGCTGCAAAAGCAAACCAAACAAAAGACACAAAGACTAATAAATACAATATATTGACAAGGGACTATTTAGTCCTTCAAGGCTGTCCATGTACACCCACTCTCGAGAAAGAGTAAAAACTTAAACTCCTCCTTTATTTCCAGAAAATTATTGATTTATCTTTTGAACAAAAGTGAAGTACTAGCCGTCACTACTGCTGATGGAAACTCATTCATTAAGTCAATTATACTGTTAGAAAAACAAAAAACTGTCTTAACTAAGGCCTAGTCTTGTCTTTTCAAAATCTCAAATTTGTCTCTCCTTTCATTTCACAATATAGCTAAAAAAAAATAAAAAGGCCTTTATCCTATTAATCGTCCAAACAATCTTGTAAATTAAGTTCAATATAACAATAAGATCGCACCTTACCCTTTTTTTTCTTACAATAACACAGTGTCAGATATACAAGACTGTTTAGTGTAGGTATTATTAATGAACTTACTTTGTGAGTGAATATTTCATGATTGTTTAGTTTTTTTCATAACAAGAGAGTTAAAGGCAATTATTTTAAAGGTGATAATTATGACAAGTTTGGTTACGTAACTAAGTAAGAATTGTACATTGTGTTTACAATTCACTGATGTCGAGGTTATGAAACGTCGCATGCAATTCATAGATGTCGAGGATATAGAGATTTTTAGAAGGCAAGCAGATAAAAAAAGAACAGAAAAGAGTAAAGTCAGGGGAAGAAGAAGTTCAGTCAGAGAAAAGTTAAATGCAAAGTTAATCGTTGTGAGAGTGAAAGGCCTAAAGGATATGTTAGAGTGAGATTAACAATTTTGTAAGAGATAAGGAGGATAAGTTGTCTTGTCAAAGGGTGTTCTAAAGTAATTGAACCAGCCTGAGTGGACTTTGACAAAAAGGCAGACAATTTTTGAAGTACAGGATACAACCGAGGTAACTCAATGACAATGTAGGTGAACTATACATGAATAGTTTGGCTATGAAATAGAGAAAAATAGTTTGGCTTGTCAACTGAATACTAAAGCAATTGAATAGGCCTAAGTAGACTTTTGACAAGAAGAGAACTATATAGTGTTTAAGATACAACTATGACTTACATAGTGTAAAAAATTAGATGTATATACATTTAACTTGCTCCAAATATATATATATATATATATATATATATATATTATTTTGAAAACAATTGGAGTGCATGCTGTTCGTTTATTTTTTTGAATTTACAGACAACAAGTCACATACACCTATTCTATTAGAATCCTTAGCCCAACACATCCACATATTTACTTACTAAATATACAAACTAAAAAATAAATTCTTGACACACAAGGTAAAGAAATCCTAACTTAATTGTATAACCCTTCTGGTAGCTGTCTCTAAACCCTTTATAATAAATAAATAAAAATCCTTTCTTTTTACTTGTAATCAACATTTCTATAAATTCACCCTAAAATTTTATTAGTTTTGCAGATAGCAAAAGAGCATAAGTGATTTACCCCCCCCCCTACACCCAGGGCTTTAAAGATGGAAGTAATTACTATTAATTTAAAGCTTAAAATCATACTTCATACAAGTTAACACAGTACATAGTACTACTTCTAGTAGTAAGGAATACTAACACTGTACAATTTACCACACCTTCATTTCCGATTTATTTTTGATACTGTAACTAGATATTTGGTCATTGTTCATTTTAATTGTTAACGTTATCGAACACAACAAAAAAATAACGATTAACGACATTACACTACACAATCTAACTTACAAGTTACAGTTACACGGTACAGTCAGCCTTTTCAAGTTCTTTTTCTCTTCAATTGAAGTTTTACTTTTTTAACTTAGTTAGGCCTTTTTTACATCAATAATGTACAGTATCAATCATCTTATAATTCACAGTAGTTAAACCTCACAAAATAACTCGACAGGGATCAAGACTTATCGCAATTATTAAGTTGATATATTTAATAGTAATACGGCAAATTGGAATAAAAATATGTTGTATATGCTCCAATAATTTGCATAAATAAACTTTATATAAATTATTACAGTGTAAATGAATTTATTTCAAAATACTAAAACACAGTAATAAAATATTTGAAAATCCTCACCAACAATGATTGCCAAACGCTTAAGGAAAAAAACATACGCTTAATCCTTCTGTGGACTTTCACATGCTTTTGCCAGTTTTGGTTAATAGGTTGCGTGACTCTAAATTATTTAAATCATTTGTTAATCGATATCAAGTCTTAGTCTTGTCACTTGGATGCCCTCGCTATCTAAAACTTTGCTAATCAAATTAATTTAATGAATATTTCATTTAAGGTAAGTATATGCTGTTTTTTTTGGCAACTGTCAAATTAAAAAACCTGATATTTAAGCAAATATGTACTACCTCAGGCTGGCTGGTCAATTTATCAGGGTTTATATACCCTTTCAGATGAAAGTTAGGTTGATCACATGATGTGTCAGGTGGTCCTTGCAGCACTTTAAATAACTTGAACAAGCACATTTGCAGCCGTTGCCAATCAATCTAATAATATTTACAAATATAGTGGCGACAATAGGAACGCGCAGGGCCCAATGCGAAATCGTCTAGAGAAGAGGATGGGAGGTGACGCTTTTGAAATGTTTTTTGAAAATTACGTGCGATTTGTTGCATTTGGGTGAGACTGAATGTCTATTCTGTGACATATAATTTGCTAGTTAGTAAGTGTAAAACATTAAAAACTGTTGTATATTGTGATGGAAATGCTGTTTGTTTTTAAAGATTTATCACAAGTGGGAAAACGACTACCTTTTTTACTTCTAGGACTCTTAGACAAAATTATGGGCAATGGTCAAGACCCAGACGCCGACGCTTCTGGTGCATTATAAATGCAAAAACCCGCATTTCAGACCAGGAAAACAGTACATAAACTGCTTAATATTGCTTTACTGTATCGTTCAAGTTGACCAGTAATAGCGAAAAGTGAAAAAATGTCTGCTGTGAGAAGGGGGGGGGGGTTTAGCCACAAACATATAATTATAGAAAGAGAAGGAGAAAGACTGTTAGATATGATGGTAATCATAATCAACAATAAACCAACTGATAAACGTTCAATGCAGTGAAATCAACGTTGAACTCAAGGAATATCTTGTGAAGAGTGCTTCAATGAATGGGATATGGCAGTAGGAGAACATAAACCACTTATCTCGATTACAAATAAGAAAAAATGTCTAGAGTGGCATAAGGAATGCAGTCATTAGATTTATGAGGACTAACAAAAAGTGTTATGGTCTGATGCTTTACCCCTTTTTTTGCGCAGATGAAAAAGAAAAGACAGATTTGAAGAAATCCACCCAAATCACCCGAGTCCTCTTGTATGGTCCCACCTGTACATGCCTCTGGTGATAGAATCATGGTTTGGGTTATGTTTTCTAGACACTCCTTGTGTCCCTTAACGCTTTAGAAAGCAGTAGAATGAATGGAAAAACTTACCTTGGCATCATTTCTGACAGTACATTTAGCGATGGTTCATGTCTACAGTTTGAGGAACCTGATAGAGATTTTGGAATCTCCCATGGTCACCACAATCACTGTATCTTAATCTGTATCTTAATTCAGTTGAGCATCTATGAAATGAGCCTAAAAACAAATTTACTATCATGATCCTTTTCTTTCCTCATACAATATTAATATGAATGTTGTAGAAGGGTGGAAATCCATTAGGATACATTTCAGCAGTTTTGGGATTTTATGCCATGTCATGTGATGGCTGTAATTTAGATAAAAGGTGGCTCAACCAGTTAATATGTATAAGTCCTAACAAATTATGGTATATTCATGTAAACTGAGTTAATTTTTTGAACTAGCGGATAGTTATGCTTAATAACTGCAATTTGGTCAAGATATCGATCGTATAGTAATGCCAAGCCTCTTACTGAGTCGTGATGTTAAATGTAAATAACATAAAGTGAAATGCTAAATGAACAATCTTTATCACAAGACTAAACATAAACAGTGTGCGTACTTTGTTTTCCTTACATGGGACTATTGTTTATAATGGACTCTTTCAGCTGCTTCTCCTTCAAGATCCTTTGTCAGACTGTTTAAATCCAACTTTCCTTAATTCACAATAAATTTTGCATTTATACAGAGTGACTAGCGCTACCATGGTGAAAAATCATTACCATTGCAACATAGGTAAGGCTGTAACATTGATATATAGCCTGAACGACTACCGAAGGACACTGTTGTTGACATCATTGTACAATGTGCAGTATTATAGCAATATTCACATCTCAGACAAAAAAATACATTATTCACTCGACAACAAAAACGGCTAGAATGAAATCAGCTTAACAGCTTTCGTGTTATATGAAACTTGCACATATACAGAGCGAAGAATACATTTTAAATAAATACTATAATGTTACAAGAAGATATAAACATGTGGTATTTCCATTTATCACACTTTCCCCCATTCCCTAATTCAGGCTTGCTTTCATTCTGACAACTTTAATATAAAAAACAATAAACTTTAAATTGCACTCTGGTAGAGAAGTAAATTAACTTTCTCTTACCACTGCTATGATCCTTTTCCGGGTTTCAATTAAAAGCTTTCTTTTTTATCCACTGAAATATTATTTTAAGGTTCTAAACCACAGATTAGAACGTGCCACTAAACATCAAGACGTTGTTGACATAGATCAAGCTCTTCTTTCATTGTAGCTCCTTCATTGTAAGATCCATTTTAAGGTTCTAAACCACAGATTAGAACGTGCCACTAAACATCAAGACGTTGTTGACATAGATCAAGCTCTTCTTTCATTGCAGCTCCTTCATTGTAAGATCCATTAGCCTTTCTAAAGTGTCGGTCACCTTACACAGGCTGAATGGCATACAAGCCACCTCTCATCATAAAAACAGTCTAATGTCTGCTTTCGTCATCTAGTTTGACTTGACAATATTCTGATGTCAGTTCTAAAGTATTAACCCAACGGATCCCTTTTAACGTGTTCAGACATTCATTTGTTTGGGGTAATGAAAAGACACAAGTGTAAGGTACATTGTTCACCCATACCTTTTTCAGTACCAAATTTTTATTTTATTTTTAAGAATAATACCGTTGTTGTTTTCTTTATGGCAAAGCTATGCAATAGACTATTTGCGTTTTGTCTACTGCGGGGAATCGAAATTCTGGATTTTAGCGTTGTAAGTACGTAAACTTACTGTTGACCCATCGGTTGACGAATGATAATTTAAAAAATAATCAAGTAGAATCATAATCTACGTGAAATTATCTTATAGTTAGAGTGATCAAACACGCTAAAATGATTTTTCATAATAGTTTTATTCAAATATTCAAAAGTAATTTTGTACACCACAGTAACCTCTTTGAACAAAATGTAAACGTCCGCCATTTTGTTTTTGTTGACCATATTGACCTGAAATTATTGTCAAGAAATTCATTTTTCCTTTGTATTTCAATGAGATACTGGTACGGCATGGCCAGGTGGTTAGGGCGCTCGACTGGTAATCTGCGGGTTCGAATCCTCGTCCCACCAAACATGCTCGCCCTTTCAGCCATGTGGGCATTATAACATGACGGTTAATTCCACTATTCGTTGGTAAAAGAGTAGCCCAAGAGTTAGCGGTGGGTGGTGATGACTAGCTGCCTTCCCTCTAGTCTTACACTGCTAAATTAGGGACGGCTAGCGCAGATAGCCCTCGTGTAGCTTTGCGCGAAATTCAAAACAAACAAACAATCAATGAGATACCACTTGAATGCTAAGTATATGATACTGAGTTTCTTTGCAGTCCTTCTTTTGGTATAACTCTCCTATAGAAATAAATTTTGCAAATTTCCGAAGAAAATTCTTATTAACAAATCACAGCTATTTCTGTAATTCTTATCAAACATGACAGTTTTAGGTCTCTTCTTGTGAATCCAGCGAAGCATTATAAAAATACCCTTAGATATAATATCAATGATTTACTTTGAGTTGGGTTTTATTTGTAATTAAGCACATACCTACACAATTGGCTATCTGTGCCCAGCCCACTTTGGGTAGCGAAACCAGTTTTTTAGCGTTGTAAGTCTCAGATATGCCGCTGTACCACTGGATGGCGTCAGTTGGGAAATAGCCCATTACTAAAAGTTATCATTTTAATATGCTTTGGTGTGAATTTCGCGCAAAGCTACACGGGGGCTATGTGCGCTAGCCGCCCCTAATTTAACAGTGAAAAACAAGAGGGACGGCAGTTAGTCATCACCACCTAGAAGTAAACATCTGGAGTGTTTTACCTAGAAGTAAACATCCGGGTGCTCGAAGATAGATTTGCCTTCCTTCGCCTTGCAAGAGATAATTATTGTTTATCTAGAGATTAAGTACATTAACTATAGTGGGGGGGGGTAATTTTGGGCGTCATATGTATAAGATTTTAACGCATGAGGTAGGTGGGATAGGCGTGGTGTGAGGTTAAGGAGGCAAAGTTTCCGGCAAGGTTGATGAGTAGGCGATAAAAAACAGTACGACATCGACAAAGAATCAACAAACGGGCCTGGCAGGGATCTGTAAATCCAAATGCCGTGGCTGGAATCTATAGATCAATTTAATGTTCTTGTCTGTTAGTTCAGTTTTTATATGGTTTGCCGAATATTTGTCGTCTTGCTTCCTTTCTTATGTTCGGTTACGTCACCGGCCTTGATCTTCTCTCTGCCTCCTGGCCACCCAGACATTTCTCTGGTCTTCATATCCGCCATAGTGAAACATATGATCAATCTTTCAAAATTTATCAAATTCACGAACTCAGCAAACAATTTATCGCGAGCGGGGCGAAGAAGGATACCAATATCCCTGAACACCTTAGTTTGAGAAAGTTTATTTCCTTTAAAGACTAAGTCCCTGTATTTTGTATTTGTTCTGTGTCAATGCTTGGGTGTAGACCTTTGATTACAAAGGCTTTGGCAGTTGCTTTGTTTCTGGGTATGTGTACTGTGATGTTTCCTGGTTTAAATGCGTCCTCAGGCCATTCTTGTAGAAGTATGTTGAGTTCAATGGCTTTCGCCCCTCTTACGAGGACACCGCCCTTAGCTAACCTTTTGATGGCTACTATTTTGACTTTGTGACTGCCTGGGACTCCTTGTATTATAATGTCAAATTTTGGTGGTGGCGTGCGTTGATTTTGTGTCTCTGATTTTAAATGTGAGTTTGTTGATTCAGTTTTCCTTGTTTCTTTGGTGTTACTAATATGAAATCATCTTCTTCGGTGTGTGTTTGTGTTGTTCTTTGTGGCTGTGTATGTGTTTCAGTATCCATATTAGTGTTTTCTGTGTCTATGTGGGTTTGTTTTCTTTGTTCCTCT